GCTCCATTTCAAATTTGTGAAAATTCGAAAATATATTCGAAAATTTCTCGATGTTATCATAAGAAAAGAAATAAAGATACGAGTTTCTCAATAAATTTCTATATTTGCCTCATCAAGAAACGAAACGCAATGTAAAAAAAATGTTCTCTTATTGCTTTTATTAATATAACTTTCGTTATCGATAACGTTAACATTTCTTTGCACACTTGATTTGAAATACTTATCTATCGGAATTTTTTTTTATGCAGCTCTATAGTAAAAAAAAAAACTACATAAAAATAACCGCCCTATTCTATCAGTAAACGGTTGCATTAATTCTTGACTTCTAAGTCATTTTTTCACGATTTTCAATACACGACAAACTGCGTGGCGATACTTGCTAAAGAAAGTGTTGCGTTAAATCTTGCGAAATTCGATGTTTAATAATCAATTTTGTTTTACCTACTGCCAGAAATATTTCGTTTGTTATTGCAGAAAATGAATCCAACCAAGCGAGCGTGTGGTAGAGTAGCGGTAATCTCAGTCAGCAGAAAAATGAAAGCCAAAATCTTGTCTAACTATACCTGGTTCGAATACAATCAACATTAAAAATCAACCGGGGTTATTACTTCATTTATTCCCGACCATCAGAATTTGTTGTTACTCCTAATCTTTAAAGTAAATGAATAAGTATAAAATGTGACATCACAAATTACATAAACGGCTCGTATAAAAATAATTTTTTATGCAATTTCTATAGTAAAAAAAATAAAACCTGAACTGAATTTCAATATACACTTTAAGGGTTTTACCAGATGCTGTCTTTACGTATGTAATTGATAGAGGGAATGAAAATTTGGCATTTTTATAAAAACACGCCAATCAAGAAATAATAATTTTTTTTTTCGAATAGATTTTTATTCCTGTCGATAGCACTTCAGATTAAGAACGTCAATTTTTTCTTCTTTAAATTTTTTAAATTTTAAGAGAGGCGCTCAGTAAATTAATTCAACCCTTCCCATGCCACGTGATAAAACATATTTTTTACCATACAAATTTCAAATAATTTCCTGTTATAATAAAAAAAAATATATCTACATTATTTAACGCTTATTCTTACTTACCTTCCTCTTGCTTACATATAAAATTTCAAAACAACTGCGAAATATGATTTTATATCATATTCTTACTTAACTTTTCCAGTTATTAGGATTATTATTAATTACTTCCCTTATTTGCCTTTTTGTTCTGCGTAGGGGGATCAATTTACAAATAATTTACATAACAAACTAAACAACCCTCTTAAAACTTGGAATTTTTTAAAAGATTAATATATTTGTGGACTGGAGAGTTTAACCAATAGTAATATGAAAATAATTTTGAAAAATATGGTTATTTCTTGGATATATACGTTTTTGTAGAAAAGCCGAAAACTTGAACATTTTTAGTACAGTGTAACCCGGATATAAGAGACCAGGATATAAGAGAAACCCGGATATAAGAGAGATTTTCTCTGGTCCCAAATTAGAGCCTGTGTTAATGTATATAAAATAGACCAAACCCGGATATAAGAGACTTCTTCTCCGGTCCCGACAACTCTCTTACATCCGGGTTACACTGTATATACTTATACGAATAATATATCATTTGAGTTTCAGCTTATAATATCTGATTTTATAAAATAAAACGAAACAATATATTGATAAAAGATTGCATTTGGATTGTCAGAATTTAATATTGTACAGTGCAACAAATATTTTAGTTATTAATAAACCCCAAAGATATTGGCCACCATATTAATTAATTAACTCACGTCGAAGTGCATCCTTTTATCCCCAACTTTTGGGATGGCGGTCAAAACTAGTCATATGCATTAATGGATGAAGACAGCGTTTGATAAAATATCATAAAAAATAAAATTAAAAAGCAATAAAAAAATATCCCAAAACGGTAAGTTCTGAAGTTTAGCAGAGAATTAACTGATCTTTTGGTCTTTGAGAGAATCACCAGTTGCCGACCAAAGAGCATTTTCAGGGATTTAAGAGTAAAATTGCTATTTGCAAAAAAAAAAAAAATTCTCGTAGCAGTGGTCATAACTCACCACCTTTCAATAAATTAGGTTAAGCAACGGAAAGCAGGGCACTATCGAAATACTGGCAAATTTAAGGGTACTTGATGAAAACAGTATCCCATAAACCGGAATTAAATTTTATTTTATTATTTTACATGTTAACATGATCTCGTATAACTTTAATCGGTTTCTCAAGCATAGATTTTTATGAACATTTTCACTGTTTTGATTTTAACATGCTTTTCTTACTTCTCAGATTTTCTATTCTCGTAGCCATCTCTGTTACTAATCTTCTTGTCTTGTACTTGTAACGGCATTCACCCGGGGTGAGTTGAGCCGGCTCCAATATTGGAGTTTCACCGCATGTATAGCACATGAGATTTGATTATAGTAGTGGTTTCGTGCAGGACCATCCACACTTTTTGAAGGGCTGATTACAGAGACCTGGTGCACTACCTGCCACAAGGTCTCCAAACGACCCTCCGCAGGTTTTGAATTCAGAGTTTTCCTTCTCCTAGACCAGTTGCCATCCAAGGCGATAGAACCCATAGCTGGATGATTCACACGTTTCCGAAAGTGAATGTAATGGATTCGAACTCGGCTCTCCGATTCCTCAATCCAAGCTGCACTACTCCACCGTGCCTCCTGCTACCCAGAAGGGTCATTATTGGATTAATATTTGGTGAGGTTAGGGACCACTCTATTTGTGCAGAAAGTGCAGAATATGAAGAATCATAAATAAACTCTTTAGCATAAAACACTTCGTTGTGTTCTAAAATATTCACCACCACCAACACAACACCCAAAAAGAAAAAAAAAATTAACGCTCTGTCCAGAAACTTAATTCTTTGATCACCCACACAAATAGAGTGGTCCCTAACCTCACCAAATATTAATCCAATAATGATCCTTGTGGGTCATTAGTAACAGAGATGGCTACGAGAAGAGGAAACTATATTCAAAGAAAATCTATAAGAAATAAGAAAAGAAGTTGCAAGTAATGTTAAAATCAAAACAGTGAACATGTCCCAAGTCTTGGTTGATAATTTTACGGATGGGTTCATATAATGTAGGTCTACATTCATCACTAAAAATATTACTGTTGAGAAAATTTTTTTTTTTTATCTTCGTCCAACATACGTGTTTCTCCGGCGGTTGATTTTCTTACCTCAATGTATTCACTTGTTCTTATATTCATATATTCTTATATTCTTATATTCTGTACATTTTCTCTCTGTTCAGTGTATCAGATTCCTCAAATGTTTTCTCGTTGGGAAATCCCCTTTTCTTTCTTATTTCTCACTTATCATTGAAGAACTTTACAATCGCTTCTTTCTCTTATCACGCTTTATCTTTCTGGCTATTTGTAGAAAAAAAAACCTTTATATTTATATCCGAACTTTAAAAAAATAAATACCATTAACCATATTATGATCTGTACCGTATATACTCGTGTATAAGTTGACTTCATGTATAGTGCAACCCCTGGATTTCTTCTTTTTTTTTTTTGCATGAAAAAAGATACTCGAGTATAGGTCAACCGGTCACCGAAAATGCATGATTTTAACTGCTTCCAAAAACGTACCCGTGTATAGTATGACCCTCTATTTTTTTGTATAAATATCTGTTATATACCGTACCTATGAACACTAATGGGTATGTCCCAATCGATACGTTGGACACTATTGCAAGTTGGGTTAATATGTTGTTTAAGTAGTCCACCACTCGCAGTGGTTTACCTACTTCACGCCGCTGGCGAGTATTGTATTTAGTTGATGTTATAAAGATACCATTTCATTTCCAACCTGTGTTATGGTTTTTCCTCATTCAGTAACCCTTTCTAGGTTACAACACACAGTCACTTCATCTATCTAATTATCTATCTATCTATCTATCTATCTATCTATCTATCTATATATATATATATATATATATATATATATATATATATATATATATATATATATATATCAGTGTTATATACCGTATCTATGAACACTAATGGGTTTGTCCCAATTCTCATAAATACGTTGGATACTATTGTAAGTTGGGGTAATATGCTGTTTAAGTAGTCCACCACTCGTAGTGGTTTACCTACTTCACGCCGCTGGCGAGTATTGTATTTAGTTGATGTTATAAAGATTACCATTTCATTTCCAACCTGCGTTATGGTTTTTCCTCATTCAGTAACCCTTTCTAGGTTACAACACACAGTAACCCTTTCTAGGTTGCAACAAAAACTGATCATAAAAACAAGTAACTCGAGTTTATACGTATTTATTTGTAATATAACAAATATCTGCGTAATAAAATCTCACGGCGCCATGTCAGTTATTGTTAAATAAAAATATATAAACTTAAAATAAAAACATAAAAACATATAGGCTGAAATCCATATTTTTCATATAAATAATATTTTGGAAATTTTACAAACGCATCTTAAATCGTCTATGGGGGATATAGCATTTTAGTATGGCTTTAAAAACGGAAAGTATGTAATCACATATTATATAAATATATTAAAAAGAGTAAGGAGAAGAAAAAAGAAATTATTACTCACCGTAAAAAGAAAACTACAAAAAAGAAGTTTAATATTCTTTTTTGTTATATCTTTTGGTTCACCACTTTACGGTGGGTAATAATTTCTTTTTTCTTATCCTTATTTTTCCTTCCCCTTTGTTTTATATATATATATATATATATATATATATATATATATATATATATATATATTTTATAAATATATATATTCTTTTAAAATAGGTTTATGGCCATATCTCGTCCGATCATCGAAGTTAAGCAACGTTAAATGTTCGGTACCTAGATGAGTAACCGCTTGGGAATAACAGGTGCTGTAAGCTTTCTTTTTTCTTATCCTTACTCTTCCTTCCCCTTTGTTTTAAAATATATATATTATTTGAATATATATTCTTTTAAAATGGGTTTATGGCCATATCTCGTCCGATCATCGAAGTTAAGCAACGTTGGGCCTGTTCAGTACCTAGATGAGTAACCGCTTGGGCATAACAGGTGCTGTTAGCTTGGATGGGCGTGTGCTGTAATGGATAACCGCTCGGAGTGTGAAATCGTTCTAATTCCAATCGGGTTCGTTATATTAATTTACGCGCAAATGCCCTCGGGAAAAGTATAAATCCACCTCTTCTCTTCTCAGCTAGGAGTTAAATAGTAAGACTTATACCAGAAAATCATTATTACCGCCAAAATAATTCTTACAATTCAAAAATACTAGATGGTTTTAAATAACCTGCAAAATATTGGTAAAAACGAACATTTTAAAAGATTGATTAGTTTATCATTCTTTTCAAATATTCATTTTTAAAGCCATAATAACTATCTCTTAGTTAATATAATAAAATGTATTGCCAAAACATTGAATTGCATAATAATATCTAACGTAATTTATTAGTTTAATAAATTTTACTTATTTATCTACTAAGATCAAATAAGTGATTTATATTAAAATAATCTTCGCACTATGGGGGGGCGCTTATTTTTACTTATTTATTTTAAGGAAATATTTTGTCTTTCCGCTCTCGAGCGTATGAAGCCTCATTCTCCCCCCGCCTCAATTTATTAATTTCACACATTTTCCAGCAAAGCTCAAACAAGAAACTATTACAGTTGGTTTAACATTTTATTTGCACGCTTTTATGGTTGTACTATTTCTTTTTGAAATAGTGTTTCATTATTCTTTCTTGTACGTACCATTCTTTTATAAACTTAATGTTTAAAAAGAAAAAGGAAACGTTTCTTGACTTAAATTCAAAAATGTTTTATCCTTTTAATGATTTTCTGATCCCCCGTAATTCATTAAGACGTCCATACTCGTTAATTGCATGTTGAGAAAAAAATTCCGAGCCTTCCCATTAATAAAACCCCTTGCATTAGTTACATAAGAATAATTAGCAATACATTTCTCTAGTAAAATAATTTGTAATTAATCCTATAAAATAATTTGCTATCCATTTTGATCCAATGTATTTTATAGAAAAATAATTTTCAGGAATTAAAATAAAATAATTCGCAATTCCTATAATGAAATTTAGCAATGCGTTTCTATAGAAAAATAATTTTCAGCAAATTAAAAAGTAAAATAATTCGCAATACCGTCCTATAATGAAATAATTAGCAATGTATTTCTATAGAAAAATAATTTTCAGCGAATTAAAAAGTAAAATAATTCACAATACCTTCCTATAATGAAATAATTAGCAATGTATTTTTATAGTGAAATAATTTTCAACGAATTACAAAGTAAAATAATTCGCAATACCTTCCTATAATGAAATAATTAGCAATGCATCTCTATTGTAAAATATTTTTCGGCGAATTAAAAAGTAAAATAATTCGCAATACCTTCCTCTAAGGAAATAATTTGCAATGCATTTTAGAGTAAACTAATTTGCAGTGCATTCCGCTAATAAAATGTAATTTCTAGTAAAATAATTTGAAATACGTTTTTATAATAAAATAATTTGCAGTACTTTTTAGCTCAAAATAATTTTCACTGTGTTCTTATAATAGAATAAATTGGAACGCATTTTCATAGCAAACTGATTTTCAATAGATCCGCATGATAAAATAATTTCCAATGAATTACTATAATAAAATTATTTACGTTGCATTTCTATAATAAATAAATGAAATACAACGCATTTATAATAAAATAATGTGTAATATAGGGTGTTCAAAAAGTCACATTACCATTAATAACTTTGTAAATTTTATATTTATTTACCAAATGGAATCATGTTTCTGTATGTGACAATATATTATTAAGAAATTTTATTGGTCGAATTATGGAAGATGATGTCATGCAAATTTTCCCTGGTTGCTATTTGTCAAGTGTGTTTTCTGCCAATTGTCGCATGACTTTTGGAACACCCTGTATTAATAGATAGAGGTCAGCTTAGATGACCTACAGAGGTCGATGTGCTGTTACACAATATAAACAAAAAAAATTTTTATACTAAATTATATATCAGATAAAAATAATAATTATAATAATATAAACTATATAAAGCGCAGTGTACTTGTGTCCATCTTCCCGTCCGTTTTGTGATTTCGACGAACCTGAAGTAACACACGATTAAAAATTAAATAAATAATACATTTAAGATTAGATCTAAATATCATACAGAGTGAAAGATTTAAAAAAAAAAAAAAAACAATACTTCATTAAAGGTTTTACTTTAATTTTACTTTTCATGGCAAAAAAATCCTCTTTATACTTTAATGGCAAAAAATATCATCTTTATATTTTAATGGCAAAAAAATATCATCTTTATATTTTAATGGCAAAAAATATCATCTTTATATTTTAATGGCAAAAATATATCCTCTTTATACTTTAATAATATTCTACTTTAACTGATTTGAATGATGACTTGTATGCAGATAATACAATCATTTAGCTGGAACTTCACATTTTCAATGTGAAGTGTTAAATGAATGGTAAACATTTCGTCTTTGATGTTAATTACTCCAATTTTATCAACCAATGTTTCATAGTAAGAAAGAGGATTTTAATGATTTTAATGATTTTAATGATTTTAATGAGTATGATTTTAATGAGATTTTACATGATTAATTCAAAATGTTGTACTTTGTTGATCTTTTGCTGTTCAAGAAATATTTTAACCAATACTTTCTATTGGTTATTCTTCTTTTCTTTTCTTTTCTTTTTTTTTTTTTTTTTTTGTAATTTTAAGGCTTAAGAAATTGTTTAAAACCTAAAGGTAAACTGAAAACATTCTAATAACTTTTTTCTGAGAAACATTAAAAACGAAGATGTATGCTCAATTCTCCAGTTTCCTTAACTGAATGTATTCCTGAAATTTAAGCATAGTCATTATTTTAAATTATTAAAATATTACTTTCCAACATGGGGTTCAAACCACTTTTATTCTAGAAAGATCTCAGACAAATTGAGAAACATTATTAGAACTCTTACTTTTCACTATTGGTATGAAAACTTAATTCATGTAAAACTGAAAGAATCTAATTCTGGTTTCTTAATAAATTAAGAATTCAGAAAGTATTTCAAAAGTATTTGCCGCGTTTTAACATTTTAAGTGTGATTTTACTCACAATGGAGAATGTCACAAAATGTTTCAATGAAATATACAGTGTTCCAAAAGTCGCATTACCATTGATATGTTTTCTACCAATTGTCACGTGTCTTTTGGGACACCGTGTATATTACTATAGTAATATAATTTCTGTTTAATTCATATAACAAAATTTTTAGCGATGCGTTTGTATAATAATTTACAATACATTTCTAGAATAAAATAATTTCCATTTAAGTGTTACAGCAAAATATTTTACGATGCTTTCTGTAATAAAATAATATGCAATGCATTACTGTAATAAAATAATATGCAATGCATTGCTAGAATAAAATAATTTCTAATGAAATCTATAACGAATTATTTTTCATGCATACTATAGTAAAATATTTTTGTAAAGTATTCCCATAATAAAAAATATTTACAATAACATTTTTTTAGTATTTGCTGTGTAATTGTTAGCGTGAATAAAAATTTTGACGTAACTGTTTAATAAATCCAACCCGCCATATATATACAGAGGTACATCAATAAATTCATAGCCCCGTGTCGAAAAAAGATACATCTATCTTACACAATAAATATTTATTTTTCCAACATTATTTCCTTTCTTGTCCTTGTATTTAACAGAATTGTAAATAATATCTAAACAGAATGAACATTATACAGTGAAAATTCCAGATCAAGATTAAAGCTACAGACTTATTGATCTACTCTCGTCTAGAGAGTATTTACGAATAATATAAGGTACTTAAGCGAAATAGAAGGAAAACGAGGAATTATTTATTTACTTTTCGGTGAAAATGATTTCTTTTTTAATGATTTAATCTCAGTGAAAAATATTTTTTCCTAATTTAGTATAAGACTTATAGTTTCATAGTAAACTAATTTTCAACAGAGCCCTATAAATAATTTCTAATTAATTACTATAATAAAATAACGTAGCTCTATATCAAATTAAGAGACAGAAAGTACTCAAATACTCCTTTCTTCGATAAAAAAACTCGAAATACTCGTTCAAACTTTGTGCGTAGTTTTCAAAACTTGAAGGCCGAGAACAGGGTATAGTACTTTTGTTGTTTTTTTGTTTTTTTTTTATTTATTTTTATTTATTTATTTTGTTGTTGTTGTTTGTTTCTTTTTTTTTTTGTATTTATTTTTATTTATTTATTTTGTTGTTGTTATTTGTTTGTTTCTTTTTTTTTTAATGAAATCGGTACAAATTTAAAGGTAATTGGTTAAATCTATGCGAGGAAAAGATCTAATAAAAAAAAAATACTGCAAGACGGAGTGTGTTTGCTTCGCAATCGGAGACATTTTTTTCAAATACGAAACCAGACAAAGTCGTCAGATTTATCCAAACTCATCACATTTTTTTGAAGGAAAAAATCTCAAACAATTTTTTTTTTTAAATTCTCAACAAAACAACTTAGCCTACAGATGAAGGTTTTATTCACTTCAATTATTTTCTTTCTGACACCTGAGGTATTTATTTTTTTTCTTTTTCTTTTTCTTTTTTTTTTTTTTTTGTTATTTTAAGCACTTTTATAATTATTGATTGATTCGTTTTCTACGACTTATCAACCCTTTACAGGTTATTTAAAGCGAGAAAATATTTTTAGATTGTAAGAGCTTCTTCCTTTTTTTTTTTTTTTTTGAGATAATCATTTTTAGAGATGCAAGTTTTACTAATTAACCCATAGCTAGAGGGAAAAGAGATGGATTCAAACATTTTTTAAGGTATTTGCGCGTAAGTGAATATAATAGCGAACGCAACTGGAATTAGAACTCGGCTCTCCGATTAACAATTCCGAGCCATTATCCGCACATTCAAGCTAACAGCACCTGGCATTCCTAAGTGATCAACTATCGATGTTTGTTTTTTAAGAATTTAATATTATTCCTTAATATTAATTCCTTAATTTAATATTAATTTATTATTATTAA